CAGCTGTAGAGAACAACCGGGAGGAGAGGGCGCAGATAGGTAGCGCGATTGGCCGTGCCCAAGCGCCTGCCTGGCCGTGCGGCGGTGTGGGAGGTGTATGGAGCCAGATATAATTATGGGTTCAGGTTCTCAGGCTGCGTACTGTACCCCCGAAAGTTGCGCGTGGGATTGGTCGTGGACGCGCACAACGGGGTGCGTTACTACGTGAACCATTCATTTCTGGCGTGGGGTACTGTAACCTGCCTGCCGGGGTCGGGCGGGTCGCTGCCCATGCGGCAACCCTACCCCGGAGCTACCGAGGTGCCACTACCCTCCAGCCCGTTCCCGCGCAATTTTGTGCGGAAAAAGGGGCATGCTATTGCAGCTGCGGCATCTCCTCACACACGGCAAGGACCGGGAGCCAACGAAAGCGATTGTACAGTTCGTTCTTAAGCGACCAAGGATTCCCTGGAGTGGGGAGACGAATCAATTTCATTTCAGCTGGTGGACCTTTTCAAAAAGTTACGAAATCAGCGAGCATCGTGTATTCAATTAGAAGGACAGTATGTATTCGTTATACTCAGCGTACTCGATTACATAAAGGTCAGTCGCTATTTTAGCTATCCCGAAAAAATTTCAAGCATTGAACCCCACCCATTTCAGATTAAATGCCCTAAGTACAAAGAACGAGTTAACAAGTATATAGAAGACTTTCGAAATGCTATGCTGGCTTCTTAATCGAGTTCAACTTCCTTGCACTACATGTTCTTCAAATTCAAGCCAGACATTGAAAATGATTGATTGGTGAAGAGCCGCTAATTTTCAGTTTTTATACGGAACCTCTTTCTTTTACAAAAATAATAAATCTACATAGTAAACTCAATTCTCTTCCAGATTTTATCATTTTCAACAAAAACCTCGCTCAAATAGTATAACGATAGTAACAATTAACAATGTGTAATTGCATTGAGAAAACCTAACAAATATAAGAACATGTCTACTACACGCCTAACTACAAGGTTTACATATAGAAAAGCGGTGGGAATATGCAGATTCAGAATTATTTTGATACAAACGCTTTGATCTTATTAAGCAGACCTACGTACTGGGAGTGCTCATAATGTGTAGCGTAGGCAACCAAGGTCTTGCAGAACTGCGCGTCAAATCCGCGCTCTTCCAAATAGCGGACGAAGAGGAGATCGTGCAAATCCTGAATAAGCTACGTCATACAGTACTTACAAAGTGCTAAAACTGCAGACAAACTCAATTTTCGCGCCGAAAAAAAAAAACAAATCACAGATTTCAAATTGTCGGGCTCCCACTCAGCGGGCAAGTTTATTCATGCTACCACATCCACAAAGCTCAATAAATCATAATCAGTCACGAACACACCCTTAACACTTGGGGAAATGATCGGTCACCCTTATCTGTCTCCGTCATAAACTGCCGCTTACACAAAATAAAGGCAAACTGAGAGCTCGTTCACACTTCGCACCTGATCGCTCTTAGTCGGCGCGACCCTGAATAGTAATCATATCAAAAGTTATCACCGCGATCGAAGTATGGAATGCTGCTGACGTTATGACTGTTGGTTTCAGACGTGCTAAAACTGCCCTGAATCATACAAAGGAATGTTAATACTAATTCCGGCGCTCGATACTCCTCGGATGGCTAGCGCGGCGCGCACCCACGCATTCACATTTGGGATCAAGGGCATAAAAATAGAATCACCGTACTTGAAATAGGGCCACCTATCCCATCCGTGAACTCCTTTCCTTTTAGGCATAGATGGAAGTTCTTATATCCACTACGGTAATTCTAGTATTGCACATAGTCAACCAAATGCCCCTCAAAGTCCCCTCACGACCCATCGCTTCTTGGCCATCAACGTATACTATCAATTTGTCATGAAAATTTCACAACTGTTTTCTAATTCCACGGTAGAAAACTCACAGGGTCAATATATTTTCCACTGCTGGCATAAACTTCCGCAGCGACATCTTCATTGCCGTCTTTGACAGCTGGCGCCACGTAGAACTCCTCTACACGGAAATCATCTAAAGAGAAAATCATATCTCAAAAACTACCCCTGACACAAGGAATTCGGACTGATCTTGGAAATCGTCAACATCCATGTCTATAACGTTGTATTCTTACTGTACTTACATTCTCCCTGGACATCTACGCTTTCAACCAGTTCCAAATGGAAGCAAAGACGTTCGCCTCCCTTTGTGATCTCCACAGTGAATGGAGGCAGTGCAACAGGCACTGGGGCAGCCTGAAACATAAGCGCAATTAACTCTCAACTTAGAACAGCATATAGTCTGCATAAAATTCAATGTGTCGATACAACGGTCGACCAGATCTATTTTTATTGCGGACTATTACACATTTTCGTGTATTTTTCAATCATTCCCTCGAAAGCTTGCAGAAACACCTCTTAGATAGATGATTTTCATGAGAACGTTTGTTGTTAGCGACCAATTCGCTCATCATTTTTACTAACTCGCAAAACATTGCATGGATGTGTGCATCAAAAACGGCAGGTGAAAAGCTGAA